GTCCTAATTAAAACTTCACACGGCAGCAATTTGTCTTTTTACTGTGGTAATTCATTAAACAGAGCTTTCATTGAGGAACGTCCATAAAGGTCAGGGCTGAGCACAACCTTGCTTTATCGACAAAGCAACCAATAATACATTTAGTCCTAAGAGCAGCAAGACTACATAAAGCAATTTGTATCTATTAAAGCTGCACCGTGTAATGTGGGTTAACAAACCCCATGAACCTTAATCTGCTCTTTAAAAATAGATATAGATAACTTAACAGCTCCAAGGGCATTTTTCAACAGAAAGAGGTCAGTCCATAAATGCTGTTTAAACGTGATTTCTGAAGGTTTGGACAGGGTTTATCCACTGATCTGAAAAAGACACTTTATAACAACTGATAAACAGGAAATACTATTTTAAACCCATAGACTATAGTAAAAGAAATAGGCAGTGCAAGAATAAAGTTGGGGTCAGTTTCAATGGGAAGTGAGGAGAACTTTCCTCAGTGGGGGCACAGACAAATGTAACCCTGACAAGTATTCTAAGCTTTCTCAACTCTGTCCAGAAAAAAAATCATCTCCTGAAGTCTCTTTGCAGCTACTTCCTGTTTATATGCATGCAGTCCAGTGATGGCTGCCTGGCATTCCTCAAGGTGGGTTATGTGATGGTGACAACAGTGAAACATGCATGTATCAGATGCCTATGTGACATGATGACAATGTAAGAATACAATTGGAGAGAGGGAACGAGGGTTGTCATCCTAAAACAGGATATGCCTGAACAAAGACCTTCATCGAAAAATCACCAGGTATTACAATTTACAAAAACAGATATAAAAAGGCAATTCAGTTTGTTTCAGGCTGGCTGGTAAGTGAGCTGGGAATATTTGTTTGTTGTCTTTTAACTTGCATCGCCCTTCCATGTACTCCTTGCTGGAAAGGACAGTTATAGGTTGAGATGGTTGCCATTTTTTGTACTGTTGGTGAATAGGTGAATCCATTTGTTTGTAGATATAAAAAGGCTGACAATTACTTTTGCAATTACATGAACATGTTAAAGTTGATCTGAAATTTTAGTGTTTGGGACAATATGTCCCTGCATGCTTGCAATCACCCAATAAACACATCAAATGGTTTTACCGTGCAGTAGTGATGCCAGCACAGCTACCTACAAACAGCCATTATAACTTCATAAAAAGCATGACTGTGATGGACAGTAACAAATAAATACAGCTAGAAATCTGATAATTAGAGAGGTAAGATTGGGAATTGTATTCATAGGATACACACTGAAGACATTTCATAAAACTAATGGTCATTACATTGGTATCATGTGTAGTTAGGAAGGCCATAGCTCATGCAGCTTTCTTTCCTTCTACCAGGGGTGGAAGGAAAGAAAATTGTTTGATTCCCCCATCAACACAATACATGCTATTGTGTTATGCCGGCAGAGAGCCTTCCCTGCCAGCAGAACACAATGATTATGGTTGCCGATTTTTTTCCAGCAGCACTAATAGTTTGGGGAAAACTGGACAGGCTGCTTGTACACAAGTCCATCGATAGATCGACTTGTGTAAAACCAGGGTGCACATAGTGAGGAACAGAAGTATTTGAACACCCTGCGATTTTGCAAGTTCTCCCACTTAGAAATCATGGAGGGGTCTGAAATTCACATTGTAGGTGCATTCCCACTCTGAGAGACAGAACTTTAAAAACAATTCAGGAAATCACATTGTATGATTTTTAAAGAATTTATTTGTCTTGCACTGCTGAACATAAGTATTTGAACACCTAAGAAACAGCAAGAATTCTGGCTCTCAAAGACCTGTTGCTGTGCCTTTAAAAAGTCTACCTCTACTCCACTCATTAATCTAACTTAATAGCACCTGTCTGAGCTCTTTAAAGACACCTGTCCACCCCACAGTCAGACAGACGCCAACTACTACCATGGGCAAGACCAAAGAGCTGTCAAAAGACACCAGAGACAAAATTGTGGACCTCCATAAGGCTGGAAAGGGCTACGGGGCAATTTCCAAGCAGCTTGGTGAAAATAGATCAACTGTTGGACCAATTGTTAGAAAATGGAATAGGCTAAAGACCACTGTCAGTCTCCCTCGGACTGGGGCTCCATGCAAGATCTCACCTCGTGGGGTATCACTGATGATAAGAAAGGTGAGGAATCAGCCCAGAACTACAAGGGAGGAGCTGGTCAATGACATGAAGAGAGCTGGGACCACAGTTTCAAAGGTCACTGTCGGTAGAACACTACGCCATCATGTTTTCAAATCATGCATTGCACGGAAGGTTCCCCTGCTCAAGTCATTACATGTCCAGGCCCGTCTGAAGTTTGCCAATGACCATCTGGATGATCCAGAAGAGGCATGGGAGAAAGTCATGTGGTCAGATGAGACCAAAGTAGAACTTTTTGGTCTAAACTTCACTTGTCGTGTTTGGAGGAAAAAGAAGGATGAGTTGCATCCCAAGAACACCATCCCTACTGTGAATCATGGGGGGTGGTAACATCATGCTTTGGGGGGATTTCTGCAAAGGGGACAGGATGACTGCACTGCATTAAGGAGAGGATGAATGGGGCCATTTATTGTGAGATTTTGAGCAACAACCTCCTTCCCTCAGTCAGAGCATTGAAGATGGGTCGTGGCTGGGTCTTCCAACATGACAACGACCTGAAGCACACAGCCAGGATAACCAAGGAGTGGCTCCGTAAGAAGCATATCAAGGTTCTGGAGTGGCCTAGCAAGTCTCCAGACCTAAATCCAATAGAACATCTTTGGAAGGAGCTGAAACTCTGTGTTGCTCAGCGACAGCCCCGAAACCTGACAGATCTAGAGGAGATCTGTGTGGAGGAGTGGGCCAAAATCCCTGTTGCAGTGTGTGCAAACCTGGTCAAGAACTACAGGAAACTTTTGACCTCTGTAATTGCAAACAAAGCTTCTGTACCAAATATTAACACTGATTTTCTCAGGTGTTCAAATACTTATGTTTAGCAGTGCAAGACAAAGAAATTCTTTAAAAATCATACAATGTGATTTCCTGAAATTTTTTTTTTAAATTCTGGTCTCTCAGAGTGGGAATGCACCTACAATGTGAATTTTAGACCCCTCCATGATTTCTAAGTGGGAGAACTTGCAAAATCGAAGGGTGTTCAAATACTTCTGTTCCTCACTGTACATGGCTCGAAATTTGCTTGGTCCCTGCTGAACCAGTCGAATTTCAATCCATGTATGGCCAACTTTAGTCTTTCCAGATAGCGTATGTTTCCTTGATACTAAAGATTTAGCCCCACAGCAGTTTGTTTTTTTTTCTGGCCTTTAAAGCGCAAAAATATTTTAAGTCAGGCTTTATGTCTTAAGCTGGCCCAATACTAGTAGATGTTTGAAATGTTTTTATGAAAATTCGTAGAAAAAGTCTCAGTACATTTGATGGCTTGAATGTCGTTTAAAAGTTATTCAAAATTTTGTCATTCAATTTTCCAATAAATGGACTGATCAGAAACTACCATACATTGTTAGAAATTAATTAATTCCAGAAAAATTATTCATCCTTCCCCTTCGAATTTTCTTGTTTTCTGTGGTCCAAAATAAACGTTGATTTGACCCCAATAATGATTAGAAAATATGTTAAAATGAAAATTTTCAGCCAAAATTCTACTAGTGTATGGCCAGCTTCAGGCACAATCAAACAATAATAAGAAAACAAGCTTCACAGAGTCACACATACAACACATCACATTATTGCAAATGCATATAGATCTGAGCCAATCAATTCAATAATTACTCGGCTGTTGAAAAGGCATTAGATTTGTTTTTGCTTTCATCTTCTCCTATTATGAGTATAATGGGTTATAAATCAAGTATCCATCTTTGAATGATGTGGGGGAAGGAAAAAAGGGAAAAAAAAAAAAAACTCATGAAGGGTTGCAGATTACTGGAAACATAAAAAGAAGCTAAAAAGAGAATGCTAGAGAGATGTCCAACAGGGTTATTTGATTATAAGCCTAGTGTTACAAAGGGCAGTTTGAAATGTTCAGAGACTCAAATAGGAATAATTTACATTTATATAGCATTTTACATGTGTCTGAATTCTTTACAGTGCTTTAAAAAACACAGAGCAAGTACTAAGAAGTATTCTTGGTTTTCATGAGATCAGTTGCAGGGTGCACCTGCGTGCAGCTAATTATAAAGTCCTGCTTTTTATTTCCGTGGTCCACTAAACAGGAAAATATAACCCCCAATACTTTATAAATCAGTCTGTATTTCAGTATCAGAATTTGTTTTCTTTTAGATAACATCATCATAAAACTAACAGAAAAAAAAGGATAGGCCTCTTTCTAAAAATGGAATTTCGAAAGATTTGAGGTGCAAGTTTCCTAATCCACCAGCTGCTTGCTTGACACTTCCTCCACCAATGAGAGCTCCCTGCAGGAGTCTGCCACTATTGCTATATTGTTCATCTCCAGTTTAAATGAGGTAACCACGTCTACACCTCCCTAAGAACTATCCGCTCATACTGTGGTGAGAACTGGGGTATGGGAGAATTTATTGGAATTCAACAGCGGCATCTGATTACCTCATTCGCCCTGAATCCAATTCAGATGACGGGGAAGGGAGAAGGGAGGAAAGACAAAACGTCAGAACAACAGAAACTTTCCCGTTCTAAAGAGGCATATAAAACTGTTCAGACTAGTCAAAATGCCAGAATAAAAAAATGCGTGATAAAGATTTTTTGTGCTCAGTTTTTTACTTTAACCTACAAGCATTTTCATAAAAGATCCAAAGTGTTTAAATGTGGAAATTACTCTGAACACACATAGATATATATATAGATATATATATATACACACACACATATATACATACATAGACACACACACACACACACACACACACACACACACAATATTGCCAAAAGTATTGGGACAGCCCTCCAAATCAATGGATTCAGGTGTTCCAATCACCTCCATGGCCCCAGCTGTATAAAATCAAGCACCTAGGCATGCAGACTGCTTCTACAAACATTTGTGAAAGAATGGGTCGCTCTCAGGAGCTCAGTGAATTCAACTGTGGTACCGTGATAGGTTGTCACCTATGCACCAAGTCCATCTATGAAATTTCCTTGCTACTAAATATTCCACGGTTCACTCTTAGTGGTATTATAACAAAGTGGAAGAAGCTGAGAACAACAGCAACTCAGCCACAAATTGATAGGCCACATAAAATGATAGAGTGGGGTCAGCTCCAACTGTCTGCAGAGTCAATAGCTAAAGACCTCCAAACTTCATGTAGCCGTCAGATTAGCACATCAACAGTGCATAGAGAGCTTCATGGAATGGGTTTCCATGGCCGAGCAGCTGCATCAAAGCCTTACATCACAAAGTGCGATGCAAAGCATATGCAGTGGTGTAAAGCATGCCGCCACTGGACTCTAGAGCAGTGGAGACATGTTCTCTGGAGTTACATATCACGCTTCTCTGTCTGGAAATCCAATGGACATGTCTGGATTTGGCAGTTGCCAGGAGAATGGTATTTGCCTGACTGCATTGTGTCAAGTGTAAAGTTTGGTGGAGGGGGGATTATGGTGTGCGGTAGTTTTTCAGGGGTTGGGCTTGGCTCCTTAGTTCCAGTGAAGGGAACTCTTAAGGCGTCAGCACACCAACACATTTTGGATAATTTCATGCTCCCAACTTTGTGGGAACAGTTTGGGGATGGCTCCTTCTTGTGCCAACATGACTAGACACCAGTGCACAAAGCAAGGTCCATAAAGACATGGATGAGCAAGTTTGGGGAGGAGGAACTTGACTGGCCTGCACAGAGTCCTGACCTCAACCTGATAGAACACCTTTAGGATGAATTAGACGGAGACTGCAAGCCAGGCCTTCTCGTCAGACACAGTGCGCTTCTGAAAGAATGGTCAAACAAACCCATAAACACACTCTCAAAACCTTGTGAACAGCCAACCCAGAAGAGTTGTTGAAGCTGTTATAGCTGCAAAGGGTGGACGAACTCAATATTGAACCCTACGGACTAAGACTTGGTTGCCATTAAAGCTCATGTGCATGTAAAGGCAGGTGTTCCCATACCTTTGGCAATATAGTGTGTGTGTGTGTTGTGACAGTAGACAGGTGAAATCACCTGGTTGCGTCCTGGATGGACGATACATTTGTCCAAGGTTCAGACTCTATGGGGATTTGTTCCACTAGGGGGAAGTGCTGAGTCCTTCAGCACTGAGGTAATGAGCCCAGCTGAAGGTAGTGGGCTCATTAAGGTTGTTATAAAACTTCCCAGCTTGCTTAGGGAGTTGCTCCAACCTGGAACCAGATCTGTGCCTGAACTGACTGGGGAGCAACATCCTCTGTGTGCAGGGAGACAAAAGCCTGTGTGGCTAGCCTCCAACTACCAGCAACTAGGCATAGCACAGCAATGGGCAAACTACGGCCCGCGGGCCGTATACGGCCCGGCGGACCTTTAAATCCGGCCCGCGGAGCTAGGCTCCCGCTAGGCTCCTCTCACAGTCCGCCCTGAAGACCGGTGTAGCATGAAAATCTGTCTCCCATGAGGATCTGTCCCCCTCGACGTATCTGCGCATGTGGCGGAGATCGCCGATCGGCTGCTAATGCCTGAAACTGGCACATGCGCAGTTACGTCGAGGGGGACAGATCCTCATAGGAGACAGATTTTCATGCTACACCGGAACGGTGCGGGAACACGGCGAGAGGAACGCGCGGAGCAAAGGTAAGTGAATTGACACAGGGGGGACTTGGGGACTTAATATGGGGGATGAATTAATATGGGGGATGAATTACTATAGGGGGGATGAATTACTATGGGGGATGAATTACTATATGGGGGATGAATTACTATGGGGGATGAATTACTATATGGGGGATGAATTACTATGGGGGATGAATTACTATATGGGGGATGAATTACTATATGGGGGATGAATTACTATATGGGGGATGAATTACTATGGGGGATGAATTACTATATGGGGGATGAATTACTATATGGGGGATGAATTACTATGGGGGATGAATTACTATGGGGGATGAATTAATATGGGGGATGAATTACTATATGGGGGATGAATTACTATAGGGGGGATGAATTACTATATGGGGGATGAATTACTATATGGGGGATGAATTACTATAGGGGGGATGAATTACTATGGGGATGATGAATTACTATGGGGGATGAATTAATATGGGGGATGAATTACTATATGGGGGATGAATTACTATGGGGGATGAATTAATATGGGGGATGAATTACTATATGGGGGATTAATTACTATGCTTACTATGGGGGAATATTACTATACTTACTATGGATGACACATACACATCATTCATCTACTCTTGGTCCGGCCCCCGGATCCAATATATGAACCCATTGCGGCCCTCAAGTCAAAAAGTTTGCCCACCCCTGGTATAGCATCAGGCTGTACCTAGTGGATAGCTAGGGAAGCTATTTTGTACAGTAAGTAGCCAAGTTGGCCAGGATTTGATTTGATGTTTCTTTTTGGTTTGACATTGTTCTGTAAATATTGTAAATAAACTGCACCTTTTTGTTTTTCACCTCCACTGTTGTTGTGCTGTGCCTGTGTTTTTGTGTTGTGCACCCATCCAGTGGGTCACACACACCCGCTGCCGAGCGAACCCCGTTACAGTGTGTGTGTGTGTATATATATATATATATATATATATATATATATATATATATATATATATATATACACACACACACACACACACACACACACACACACACACAATAGGTCCATAATGAAAGAGAAAAGACACACAATACAGAGATGCTTTACAACTTTCTAAACCAATTTTGAAAAGTTCTTGGTTTTACAATTTGCAAGTAAAAATGTGTATAAAAGATTTACTTACCGGTAAATATACTTTTTGCAAATTACAGTCCTTTTCCAATAACTCGTAAACATGCTTTGTTATAATCTGTAAAAGGAAAACCATATATACAGCTTAACGCTCTGTTCCACACTTAGTTATTATGTAGCTGTCAACAACAAAGCCTGTTCAGTTTATTACTCTTCTCCTTTAACCAATAGTCAGCCTTTTGGGAAAAGACTTTACATTGATCTGCAAGCATGGACAGTATGTGGCATACAAAACAAAGTAAAATGTACCCTTAATTTTACACACGCAGCCATGGGTAATATTATCGATGAGCATATATAAATTATTTCAAGAAGTGAGAATACAAAAAATTTGATTAAACTTTGACAGTCAACTATTACCTTAACTTTCTATGCATTTTAGCATGTGTTGTACAGCACAGGCAACCAAACATTGACATGAGTCTTCTCAGGGCACCTAAAGGGTCACCGAGTTGAAAAAAACAAATGCTAAGCACTTGTGGTAATGGGCAAATGCAGCTTGCTTTCAGGTGTTCAGGTTCAGCCGGCATCTGACTTTAATCTTATTTCCTTATTATGAATGTAACTTATGATAAATATTAGAGAAATTAGAGATTAATATGGCTATAAACCCCTTAGTTATCCCCTTCCCGCTGAGCGTACACACGTATGCAGTCTCCATGAAGTAGGTTTGCAAGGTGCATACTAAATAAAAAGTTATGTAAAAAGAAAAAGAAAACAAAATAAAGATAAAATAGCTAGAGCAGGGTTTGCGTCAATGGCCTTGGTCAGTGTTTTATATAGGGTTAAGACAAAAAAAACAAAAAACATATTTATTTATTATCAGTGTCAGTTATTGCCATTATTTTAGGTAGAATTTAAAAAAAAAAAAAAAAAGCAAATTGTGCACTTTTGTTGCTGAGCCCTACTACAGGTAAAAAAAGCATGCACCTGTGTAATATTGCTACAATACTATTGCCAGGAGTAGGATAATTTTGCTTTGGGTTTCTCTTTAGTGGTAGGTCAAGGGGATGGCAAGTAATGCACTACTGAAAATGAAACTTTTTTTTTTTTTTTTTTAACTTTTTTGGGCAAGATTCCTTTGATACTAAAGACAAATCAGGAGGTATGCATTAAAATTTACCAACAAATAAAGGCCCAATTTGCCCTAAAAAAAAAAAAAAAAAAAGATAATTCACCGGGGTGCACTAAGTAGTTAGTATTATATCTACAGTTTTACTAACACATATCAAAGTTGCAGAAATGGTTTCAGGCAATAAAGTGGTATTAAACCTAGAAGCAAAAATTTATTATATTGCAGCTTACCAAGTCTTAGATGTGATGTTTTCTTTTTAGGCTTTCTTATTTTTAGTTTCACCTGGTGATCTGGCCAGTAAGTCTGCTGTTTTTCACCAGAACAAGCTGTCCTGCAGATGCAGCAGTTAGAGGGATGAGACAAACCATTTCAACACTGATAGGGGTGATTACAATGGTCATCCTTTATTTATGTAAAACCTTTAGCTCAAAAGGTGAAAAAAAAACAAAACAAAAAAAACTGTTTGCTGTAACAGCTTAAAAGTATGAGCTGGAGTTTGGCTTTGAATTGTTAAAGCATCTAAATCTGCTAGTACATCTAACACTCCCCTCTCCCCAGACTAACAATGCTGCTGTCCAAAAGGGGTCTCTGTTGTGCCTTCATCCAGAGTATAGGCACTCTAATAACAGGCATGTTAGTGGCCAGATAACTAGGAGAAAACTGAGGGGGGAAAAGCCTAAAAAAGAAAAACTAACAGCCACCACATCTAATGATTGGTAATCTGCAATATATAAATTTTTTTTGTTGTAAAGTGGTTCTAAAGCCAAGATATGTTTTACCTTAGTACATTCCCTGCATTAAGATGTCAATGTCCCAATAGCAGTATTGCCCCCTTACTCCCCTAAATGCCAACCACACTTTAGCCAATGCTGTGCCTGTCTGTAGCAGCTCTCTCCTCTCTCCTTTCTCTTATGCGGTTTTCGGAGTCAGTGGGAGCAATTGGCTCCTGTTGCTCTTGCTACGGTCAATCAAATCCTGTGAGCAGAGAGCTGAGCTGCACTGCGTGTCGAGAACAAGCCTGAACATCTGCCCCCATAGCAAAAAAAAAAAAAAAAAAGGCTTGGTGCTTCAAGCAGGTTTTGTATTCCCATATACTGTATGTCTATTGAATCCAAAAGCCTCTTGAAGCAGGCCAAATGAAAATGCAGGTCAACTGCAGGTCTTTGAATGCAGGTCAACCTGCCACTTCTGAATGAGCTCAGCCTCAGTTGTCAAACTGATGCCCTAAGGCACTGCTGTGATGGACTGTATGGGGTTTATTTACTAAAGATGGTTCGCTCAGAATCTCGTGCACTTCTGCATGGAAACCAATCAGCTTCCAGGTTTTATTGGTAAAGCTTAATTGAACAAGCTGAAGTTAGAAGCTGATTGGCTACCATGCACAGTTGCACCAGATTCTGAGTGAACCAGCTTTAGTAAATCTACCCCAATGTGTTTGACAATCTGTCAATAAATAGAAATATACCTAACATGTACAATTTCATTTCTATCTCCTTTTAGGACACCACTTCACACTAAAATCATGTTTTCACATGGACAAAAGCAGTCATGTTTGTCATCCTGTCACTTTTCTCTTACACTACATGAAGGACACGGGCCAATGATGACGGTGTCAACATAGCCTAATCTGGAAATTACATTTATGTGTTTTGCATACATAATAGAAGAAAATTGCTGGCTGTTTATCATCTTT